CAATCTCATTTTTTGCTCATTTGGTGAGCAGTGGAGTGAGGCCCAGAGACCGAACACCGAGTCGGCAAAATGATAATGGCTAGTTCCTAGATTCACCAATTCTAGAGAAAAAAGAAAACAGAAGAAAAAATTCAATAAATATTAATAATTAACCTTGGTGAATCTTTTCCCAAAAGCTACGCTATGTGGTCTCGCAATTTTGCCTCTACCTACTTACCACAACTTCTAAGCCTATACAGGGGACCCCTGCAAGCATAGCTACCGCTCACAATCAAGGGGATGCATGTTGGCTCCCTGCCCTAATCGGGAGTGGTCAGGGTAGGATGGGGCTGCTTGGGGGGGGGCTAGGTAACACAAAGACCGAGCATTTTGCCAGTAGCTGCGCCTCCCATCTACTTCCCCCACCCCCGTTGAGCGACAGCAGTGTCTATGGCCAGCACTCACACACCACACACAACCCAGCACACATACCCGTGATACCCAAGGACCCCACCAATACCGAGGAGAGGGGGGCAAGCCAACTATCGCGGTTGGTTGGCACTAAGCGTGCCCAGGCGGTCCAGTGGCGATTGAACTCACGACCTGCTGAATGGCACTTGCGTGCCTAACTAGCGGAGCCTATTTGCAAGGTAGTGGCGAGGGCCTGAGAGGGAGGATTTCTACAAAAGGGGGATTTTCAGGCTAGGGGCTGAGGGCTTTTCTCCACTCCTCCCTTTCCCCTTCCCCCCCTTCCTCCTTCCCCCCCTTCCTCCTTCCCCCCCCCACCCCCCCGACCCTCCACAGGCTGCTGAAAATGTTTCCCTGTTTCCTTTCTTTTTTGTTCATTGTGGTCTCTGCTCCTCGGATGGTTGGGCATCATGCAGGCTGTGGATCATCAAAGTTCAAAGAGATTTATCAACTTCTATAATTTTTATATTTTTATATTAGTTTTAAAGTTTAAACGTTTAAAAAAAAAAGTTCCAAGTGATCCTGAAATACCCTGTGTAGCAGAGTAGTCACGCCGATGGTCAGTGCCCTTCAATTGGCCGGTCAGTTGATCGTTTCACCTGTCGGCACCGGATGGTCAGCTGCCAATCGACACCCCGCGAAGAAACAAAAGAAAATAGAAAAACACGGGACCAATGTACCCCTAATCCTGAATGGCCCCCTTCTACCTATATACAACCCCCCCCCCCCCCCCCCCCCCCCCCCCCCCA